AGAAAGCCAGACTACGTTCTGAGGACAGGCGCCATTGCTACGTCAACGATGAAGCTGTCCGCTGTGGTGTGTCAGCCCTATGCCACCAGCAGGGGAGTTGCGCCCTTGATATTTTACTAGCACAGAGGTTTGTTTCCTGCTCGGGGTACAGACAGAGGGAGGAAGGGTAAAGAACAACGGGTGCATGGGAAAGTGGTGGTTTGGGGAAAGGGGACTGGAGAGGGATAGAGAGAAAAATGGTATAGGTTTAACGCCTGTTATGTTATTTATGAGGCGGGGGGTAGAGAGAGACAAGGGAGGGAGGGAGAGAGAGAGAGAGAGAGAGAGGGGGGGGGGGGGGGAGAAAGAAGGGGGGGTAGAAAGAGAGAGAGAAAGAGAGAGAGAGAGAGAAAAAACAAAGGAACACTTAATCAAAGGGTCGCTGGGGCCTCTGAGGTCGGCTGGGACCTGGGACACCGGGAAAAGCGCGGGAACACAGCTCATTTCCGCCTGCTACCTTTGTCATCGCAAGGGGTTTAAGGACAGTAATTGAGGTCGTCACGTGGGCTGGCGAGGGCTGGAAACTGAGGCGCGTGAGGGGGGTGGGAGGGGAAGGGGGGGGCGGTCTTCTGCAGACCTACTCAGACGGTGGTAAAAGGGTTTGGGGGGATTCCTTTAGTCCTTTTTGGGATGTTCAATGGGGATTTTCCGTCTCTTTCTCGTCTGTCTTTGGGGAAATAAACAAACGCATTTGAGATCTTGTTTAGAGAAGCATATTGACGTGGTATTATATATGACCTTTTGCGTCTTGGCAGACGATCTTAGAGCAGTATATGCAAGATATCGCTTTGCCCAGGCGGTAGACATAGAGGAAGTAGATTGCATAAGTACTACTCCCCTTCCATCGATCTTGACTTCCCCGATATGCTCCAGGGGGGAAACATGGTCAATACTTGAGGAATCGCGGAAGGTGTAAGGGTGTGTCTTACTATTTTAACATGTATCATAGGGACCTTTATACGGTAAGGAATGTTTGAATGTTTTATTTTGCCCGGATGGCGACCTGACGGTATACTCTGAAGAGTGACTGATAAATCCCTCCCCCCCTACTCACTCTTCTAAGAAGAGTGTCTGAGGACACCCCCC